CTTTGCATGACGTAACATATCTTGTGCATTTTTCCGTCCAGAGAGGATGGCAGGTTGAACTTAACAGAACCGCCAATCCGACGCTGCAGAGATCACTCGCAGCTGCGCTATAGAGAAGATGGCAGCCAGCAGAATCCTGCAGGCCCATCGCAAATCCTTTGTGTCTCAACGAGCGCTCGCTGAGATATTAGAGCTTCTGCCAGAAGAAGAGGACCAACCCGCGACGTCCAGGGCAACTTTGAAGCGGAAGCGAGAGGAGAAACTGAACAAACCCACTCCTTACGGCCCGGTGTGGAAGGAGCTGACTGGTTTTACAATGACAGAGGGGCCGCCACTGAAGGTGAGCTACCTGGACCCCTTGGCATTGCTCTGGTACGCCTGCAATCAAGGGGGTGGCTTCCAGGAGTTCGTGCAGAGCTGCGCAGCAAGAATTCCTTGCAGCCCCGGCCGCCCCTGGGACCTTTGCTTATATGTCGACGAAGTTTCGCCGGGCAATCAGCTGAAGCCATTGAACGAGCGCAAACTCCAGGTGCTATACTTTTCTTTGAAACAGTTCGGCGGCCTTGCTCTAAGCAAGGAGGACGCGTGGTTCGTGCTGACTGCAGTACGTTCCATCGACGTCAAGAGGCTGGCCGACGGCATGACGCAGCTGATGAAGAGGTCCACATGATTCGAACATGCAGCTTTTGAAAAACATGTATACGCATGTGTGTCTGTATATGTATATATTTATGTGTGTATATATATATGTACATATCAGGATCTTCGGCATCTTCCTCTTGGACCGCCGAGATCAGCTGCTGCACGGCGTCAGTCTGCCGATGCCGCATCAGCAAAACTGGATGCTGTGTTGCCGCCTTGGCGGCTTGGTCCATGTTGACTTATTGGCCAGGAAACCAATCGCATCCGCAGAACCGTTTCGCACCTCTAGATATGTGAGTTTGGTTTTCTATAATATGTGTATACATATGTATATATATATACACATATTTTTGTAGACAGACATCATTTCTAGAGTGTGTCATTATATATATATATATATGTGTACATATCCGTCTGGCCATGCGGAATTAAACGTTTTGTGTTCTTTGTCTTCGGGTTTTTGGGTTTTTGCAGGGGGTTCTGCATATGGGATATAGAATTATTTATAGCGATGGGAGGTCTGTTGATCGCCGACGAGGCAGCCTTGAAAAGTGTCTGGGAACACAAAGGAGCTTCTGGCACAAAACTGTGTTTTATGTGCCAGAACGTGGTCTCCGAGTCGTCTGGCCTGCATACCACCGACACATCAGGAAGTCTGGTGAGCCATGGTTGCCACCGCAAGACACAGCTTGTTTTGCAAACGGACGCAACAGTGCTGGAAGCCGCGGCCCACCTCGAAAGCAGTGAACAAGTCATGCGGAAGGGCGCTTTCAAGTTGCGGCAAATGGCCCTCGGGTTCAACTATGCAAAGCATGGCGTGCTGTTTTCGCCGGAGCTACAAGCCCATCTGCGACCGGTGTCAATCAGTATGTACGACTGGATGCACAACTTTGTTGTGGCAGGAACCTTCCATATCGAAATGACTGAACTTCTGCAGGTCCTGCACAACCATGGCATCCTCCAGTCCGAATTGCCACTTGCAAGAACGTTTAGGGTTTATAAGGTTTAGGATTTCGCTGGCCGTTGTCTTCAGCATCTTCCTCGCATATATAATAGGAATTCGTGTGTGTGTGTGTGTGTAAATGCTTGTGTTTTTGTATATAAGGGAAGGCAAGCATGCGTGCAGGCACACCTTCATCAGTGCATGCAAATGGCCGTCGGCCATTGGGGACAAAGGGGCATCTGCGAGGAAATTGTTCTCAAAGAAAATGTCGGAGTTCAAAGCATCGGCTTCGGAGTCCATGGCTTTGTATCCGGTAATGCGGGCCTTTCTGCAAACAAAGCTGCCAACGATATTGGACAACAACGCCAGGGAATGCTTCCGGTGCTTCTTCATCCTTGCCGAGGTCCTAGACCAAATTTACACGACGGCGACACCGGATGACGTCCCGACACAAGCCAATCTTCTGGAGCAGAAGATCTCGTCGCACTTGGAACTGTTCAAGCGTTGTTACGGGGTAGATAAAGTCATTCCGAAGCATCACCTCAACATGCACCTCGGAGACTTTTTGAGACAACACTCTGCGCTCCTCTCATGTTTTGTACATGAGAGGAGGCACAAAGAAATCAAACGGTTTGCAAATAACCTTGACAGCATGCAGGCTGGTTCTGAGAAACACGTTCTTCAGCTGGAGTTGGAGCATCATTTCAAAAGCCTCCTCGATTTTTCCGAAAGAAGACTTGGTCTCGTCAACCCCAAAGATGCTGCCGGGGTGGTGCAGAAAGCCTTCAGCGAGTTTTTCGGTTTGCCAGCCTGCCCGGGCTTGCAAGTAAGCACAACATGCTACGTGGGGAATGGACGACAATGCAAGAGAGAGGATGTGGTAGTCATCCATGGACCCAATGGCGATGAGGTGGGACAGGTGTGGTTCCACGTGGAGTTCAATGGACACACCTACACTTGCATGTCCGAGTGGCGCAATTTGGGGCAAAATCGCTTTCAAGTGGGTCATGCGCCTGTGTTCCGATCAACGGCTGGCATCTGCAGGCTTTGTGTTTGCAAGATGGAAGGTGACAATGCTTTGGTCATTCCGCTGAGCATGCCCATGTGACGATATTGTCACGGTCTCCATTCTGCAGGGTGCGAATCTCGCAGAATGCTGTGCAGGGCACACTCGCACAGTCAGCAAACATCTTTGTAAGAGATGTTGTGAACACGA